AAGCGCCGCCGCGGCTATGAGGCTATGCACTTAGGCAATTGTAAATCCCCGACCAGCCTCTCAAGGCCCATTCAAAAGGCTGGTTCGCGACACGCCTCTCCCCCTTCCACTCCCATCATCTCCAGCTCTCCTCTCCGTCAATATTCGTGCTGTATTGCGCTCACTACCCATCCAATATAAATCATTCAAAGCACACTTGCGCCAAGTCAAGGTTCAAACCCGACTCACGCCAACCCACTCGGAAACCTCAACCTGTGAGCTCTTGGTGAGATCTACTCATTGCATCAGCTTGCCGCCCACCCGCAAGTGGTCCTATTCCATCCCCGAACATCCGTAGGTTACTTCGATCGTATATCGCTTGCTCACGAACTTGACCCACGCCATTATTCAGTACTCCGGCATCCATGGCCTCACGACGCGCAGTTCGTCGAACAATCAACAGTTGTGCTCCCATTACGACGACATCAATCACTGTTCCTTCATACCCACAGCTAGGGTTAACACACCGGTACGCTCTCGGTTTATCTGCGCTCTATCCTTACCCTCTTTGAGTCTCGTACCGGAACTACGTGCGCTGCGTATAGTATGTCCATGACCGGACATGCATACATCAGGGCCGCGGATATTCACCCTCGCCGACAGCCTCATAATCCGCCCCGGCCCTACGTCCGCCTGCAGCCCATATGATAATATGATCACCAGCCCTCTGATTCACGCAGTTCATGCTGTTGACCGTCCACCACAGCAGTCATCCTCAATGTATAGAGAAGCCCTCGAGACGAGGAACATTGCTCCGAAAATCTTGCGCAGACTTAAGTACAAGGTTCCGGTGAGCATATATAGCCTTGAGCCATTGAGCTGGACTGACGTGCGTTTGGATGCCCATTTTCTTGAAGTTCTGCTGTGATCGAAGAATGAGTGACTGGCAGAACAGGGTTTGTGGCTGAGCGCCCATCAATCATATTCGCTAGCGAATCCACAAATCGACCACATTGTTGATCATGACATCGTCAAAGTCTTTGGCCTTGCCCGAGTTGGCAATGCGAGAGTGTCAGATGACAATTCCGGCCCATGGTCTCTTCTGAGTACAGTCCGATGTACTATCACCCTGCGTCTTACCGTACTTTCTGCTGTGCGAAATTAGAATCAAAACTTACTCATATCCGCTTCGACCAAATATCTGCCCTCATTACGTAGTAACTGTCTAACTTCAAAGTCTCAAATCAACTTACATGGACGGACTCCTTCACCGTACTTACTTACATGCTGGTCACTTACGTGCGTATCCAACCCATCGTATGTAGCCACCCGCCCACGCGTAGACGCACTCAAACAGCGTTGCGCGGCCCGTCCTGTTCAAGTCCGCGTTCTGCTGAGAAAGGTTTCACATGAATATACAAGTGCCTTCGCAACATACATAGGGCGCAGCGCTCGAAAATTCAGAGGCCTGGTCGGCAACGGAGGTTTTTTATGTTTCAATAGCTAGCGGCAAAAATCGAACTCTATCAATCAACCGACGACCTGAGCTTCTTCCGACGCGGAATGTATTTGCACCAGCAGCTCCATCATAGCACTACTGTACATCACACATTACAAACATTACACACATCATGCCTTAATTAAACCCAAGTCTATATCCGTATTCGTATCATACGATACACAAACAAATTAAACATTGTAGCTGTTTGGCAACAGCCCCAAAATGAGTTTTTGTCGATCCAGTCCTCAAATGTTTCACATTGTGGAGCTGACGAGCTCGCACCGTTTTCGCGCTTCGTTTCTCTCAGCTCTCGCTTAGTTTTTTTCGGCCCATTTTGATTTTTTGGGCTGTTGCCGAACAGTTCTATTAAAAGATGTATCTACAAGGTCCCATGAGTACAAAATATAAACAAAACATGGGGGAAAATACAACAACGAAAAGGATCACAACCATATCATGAACGGTCGTTAGGGTAGAGAGCGAATACTGTTACAGTAAATTGTCCACATCCTAATGTTGAATCATAATTTATTGTACTATCCCAGGCGTCGTTCGCAGGTCGGTCGCAGGGCCGTCTCCATTGCCCGAGTCGGAGTTAGTCATTGGCTCTTATGCATAGCACTGACAGAAAGGCTCAGCGGCGCCACAAATTCATATTCATATTGCTACAATGCCACGTTGTGTTTGATATTAATTAATCTCCGTTCAGAGAGCGGAGCTCGGTTAACGCTTTCTTGCCTTGGACTCCGATCGGACAGGATATATTGTAACAGGCCGCACCGAAATTCGGAACTCGGAATTTGAAGCCAATAGTACGCTGTAGCCTATGGAATTGCACGGTCGTGAGTGCATCGGTTGACGGGCATGCCGACTCCGAGCTTAGGGGGAGAAACTTTAACCCTTGGTTTCGCATAACGTTAGGTTCAGCATCCAGTATCGACGTAAGGCGTGTCTCGCGAGATTTTTTTCGTCTTTCGAATGATTCCAGTAGAGTATGTAGGAGTCGGCCACGCATACTGGGCACTCACATTGATTTTTGGCGTCAGCAATAATCCGAGTTGGAGCCCAAAAGTTCTTGCCACTGGCGGGGCCCAGCTGAGTTCCGACGCTGCTGCAGATCCAAGCGGCAGGATAAGAGCTAATAAAGCTTGAACAAGAGGGCACTCAAGTCCGCTGCACAAGATTATCGACATTCGCATTCACAGTTGAATTGTAATGATCCGCAGGAGTAGGCTCGTTTCAACCTCTCTAGTCTACCCTGCGCGATTTTCTGAAGATAGTTGTTCAGAATTACGAATACTTGAAACCGCAGGCGTCGGTTTCGTCCGCAGGACTGACTGTGGTGCGACTCGGAATTATTCACGACAGGCCCGGCGGCGCCACCAATTCATATAAGCTATTTCGGTGCTAGGTTGAATATTAATTAAATCTCCGTTCGGAGTCTAGGAGGTTTCGGAATTGGTACGGAATGTCAGAACGGGGAAGGGGAGAACGATTATGAATGTGTGCGTGAGAAGAGAGGGGAAGTCAGAGTATTGCGGGTCCGAGCCTGAGGGGGTCCAGTTTGACAACGATGCGATCCAGGGTTATTTACGGGTGAGATGAGGTGTTCAGCACTCATATTCACTAAAATATCAGTATTGACGTCACTAAAAAGAGCTCTCACCGGAGACCTACCTCGCCGCTGCTTGAAATCGTTGCCTGAAGGCAGGCCGAGGGTCCGGCTTAGCGTGACATGTGGATTGGGGAGAACAAGCACCGCCAGCATCATCCTTTGGGGGCATTGTGGGAATGAGCCTGATGACGCCGGTGGACAATGGCACGGATAGCTTGAGGTTCGTGGAGGCTAGGAGATACCACAGGTGCGCGATGTGATCTGCTAAGGCTCCCACCCCCCGGCAACAGGCGAGCGAACCCACGCACCACAGTGTCGCAGCTCGACCACAATGGAAACTAGACTGTGAGACGCGTGTGAGCGACAGAAATGGGTGCCGTCGAGGGTAGTCTGACTCACTGAGAGGGTAAGAGCACCGGTGCATGGATGGGGATTCCCAGATTGTTTCTCCTACGCACTTTCTCCGGCGCGAGTGCTCCGCTAGCGAATCGCGGGCAAGGTGATACAGCGGTGATGCAGCAGACGCCCACAGATCTGCTCATGTAGGCGTAAGAACGAGAGCCTGGACGGATTCCTACTTCGACCGATACGCGTCATGCTGTATGCGGAGCAAGGGATATTGGAGCAGGACGAAAGGAGAGTGCCGCTGAAAGCGCTGCGGGCGGCGAGTACGTGCCATTCAAACGGAGAAACTCGAGGCGAGCGTAACCCGTATCGCCGTCCCCATCTCCATCCTTCGCATCCTAGGCTCCTTCCGTTACTACGCCCATGTCCAGCCTCTTCCTCAGAGGGCAGCGCAGTGAATACCCCCGTACGCGCGGTGTTTCGGACGCCCATGTACGCGAAGAAAGCGCTATTGAGGAAGGAGGGAGCGAAGGTACGGCGGCATGCCCCGTTGAAGAGAACTATAGCTGCAGCCCATCGGCGCGATGCAAGCTCAGATACGGACTGGCCGCTGTGAGGAATGTTGGAGCGGGACGAAAGAAGGGTGCTGCTGAAAGCGGCGCAGGCGGCGAGTACGTGCCTTTCAAACGTAGAAAATCTGGGATTTCGCACCGCCGACCCCATCCCCATCCTAGACGGGCCCCTGTGCAGGAGTCGAGCAAGGATTACAAAAAAGCGAATGCGGCGATCATGGCTCGGACGACGGGGGCCGACGTGCAAGCCGCTGGACCCCAGGCGTGAACGGATCGACATTCACCGCTGAAGCGGCGGATCCTTGACGAAAAGGTGGTCGTCGAAGATGAAGGTGACGCGGCATTCTCTGGCTAGGTCTATCTGCATCCCAACGTCCTCAGGATCGACGAAAAGCAGGGATGGGCGAGGTGATACTGACGGAGATTCAAGATGATGATCTCCTGTATCGTCCTTCCTTCTTCCTTTTCCCCGATTCGTCGATCCTTCGGCGACAGCGACGGCTTCGGAATCGGAATTATGTGTGGAGAGCAAGGAGCAGCGAAAATAATGATAGTGGCAAAGGAAGAGGGAGAGGGAGAGGGAAGGAAAGAAGGGAAAGAAAGGAAGCAACAGTGCTGAGATCAGTTTGATGCGCCGTTCAGCCGTGGCCATTGCAAAAGCTACATCACGGCGGAAGAGTTACTCACACGTTCATTGCTTCTAGTCTAGTGGTACTTAATCGAAGGTTTATCGTGTCCTTCGTTCAAGCTCGCTCCGATCCCTCCCGTAAATAGTATTCGACAACTTGGTTTCACCTCGGTTTCAAAACTCGTTGAACCTACCAAAAGTCCGCGAGGAAAGTCAGGTAAATGACAATGAATATTCCTTGCCGGCGCCGAGATCCAGTTTGAGGTGCCCCTTCTGCACGGTGATCCGTGGCTATCGCAAAGTTGCAAAAACATACATACAAATTGCATTACAGCAGAAGCACCACACGTTTACATTATAGCCTCTGTAGTCTAGCGGTAAGATGTCTCTGCCATTTGGTAGCTCAAAGTTCCCAATATTTCTGGAGAAGTCGAGGATTTGAATCCCCCCGGAGGCCTGAATTGGTGCAATCATGCTTTTTGGACCACGCCTTGATTCCCTCCACTTGTTCCACAACTTTGTTTCACCACTGTCTGGCCGGTGTTCGAAACTTCTTTGAAACTCCCACTGAAGTCCAGTTCCGGAGACTCTAAACATGATGTTGTCGTCACAACAGAAGCATCATGCATATGCTTTATCGCCTCCGAGTCTAGTGGTAAAATGTCTCTGCCATATACATAGATGCTGTTTTTCGGATGTCGGAAAAACAGGATTTGTCTGATCAGGAGCTGACTGCGCCTGACGGTCTGATCAAGCCTGGTCAGATATGGCCAGCGTTGAAGGCGAGTCTTATCAGCCATTGTCATGAAATATCCTACAGTAAGGTAGAAAGCAATACTTTTTGTGGCTAGCAGTGTCTGCATTTACGGTATCTACCACTTAAGAAATGTGTATTTGCTGTTTTGCCGCACAAGGGCTTCAACACACACTCGCGCAGGCCTACCAATTCAATGTGCAATTCTTGGCCCATTCTCCCCATCTACACGATAGCTTTGACTTCCACATTCCCAGGTCCCAGAAACGTTCAACATGTTCAAATTTTATTTACTTGTTTATTTATCTCTCGCAACATCCAGTACAGTCAGAGATCATATCAATAGCTACAACAATTCACGAACGTTAGAGGCACCTGCATTACAACATTCTTGAAGTTGGTTTACTTTTACTTTATACGCTCCTGCTGAAGGCCTTCGCCTGGCCGCATTGAACCATGGTCTGAGATGCTTTTATCGCCGACATCTTGCACAATAGGATTGGTTGCATTCTGCATGAAGAAATAGAAGTATTTCGCCATAGCTTGCATATATTCTGATGCTCTTGAAGTTCTTGTCGAGGAAGTACAGCTGAAAAGGTATGACAGCCACTGGTCATCGCTAATCAGGCCTGATCGTGCAAAAAAATGTGGGGTATATATGGCATCAAGTTTCTTGCACCACCATGGTTTCCGTGACGGAGTGGTTAGAGCGCGTAGTCTCCGAAGTCTCGGCTTGTGTTCAATCCTTACTTGTAGCAACAGTTAGAAACTGGTACTCAGTAGTATAATTACACTACAAAACATCTGTGGTGCAACATTAGAAGTTGAAGTCGGGGAAATCAGTGGTTGCTTTTTTCCTTTGCTCCCGACTTTTCCCTGATCGGGGGGCATCAGACCCCGTCAGGCTGATCAGGCCGGTACGTCTGACCAGCCCTTATAACCAATTTCTGTGTCTGGTTACCCACCTCACCTGATGGTCTGACTGGACCTAATATGCCCAGGTCAGTGCATGTCATACATTTTCAATTTTCCGACAGATGCCCTCTACAGAGAAGTCGAGAGTTCGAGCTCCTCCGGAGGCATGGCATCAGTGTACACCGTTTTTTGCTAGATTTTCTTCACTTTTGCATCTTCGATACTTTTTTCTGTCTTCATTCATTATTGGATCAAACTTTGATTCCCTCCAGAGACAATCCACTAAGATTTTAGATTCCGCTGCGAATATTTCTTGCCGGCGCCGAGATGCAGTTTGATGTGCCCGTTTCGCATTGCAAAGTTGTCAAGTATTATACATACAGGGTGCATTACAGAATGAGCATCGTGCATGCACTTCATAGCCTCTGTACATGTCGTCCGGTAGACTTCTGTGCCATATGGATTGATGTGACCGTTTCTAGAGAAGTCGAGGGTTCGAATCCCTCTGGGGCATTCAACCAATATCTTGACGCTTCTCTCTGATGGTGTGAGCCTAATTTTGTTGCCAGCAATCTACTAATTCCTGCAGTTAAGCGGCTAGATTTGGCACTCTGGCCATAATGTCCGAGATCCCCGTGCTGAATAAACTTTCTTATATAAAACTGAACATGCTCCGAAACTGAAGGCAACTGGATCATAAGTTAGATTAGAAAGAAGAGAGCCTCTGTGGAGTACAAGGTCGCCCCAGATATCTAGATATCTATCTGCATTTAAAGACGAGGGTTCAACTCTCTGGAGGCATGGGGATTTGCTTCCTCTCGACTTTTTCTCCTTCGAAATCCATGCTATCAATTCCTCCACATCTATGTGACATCCTACCACTGTAAAATAAAGGCCCAATCGGTAAACTATTAAGCGGTCCAAGTCGCATTGATGTTTGACTAATTATTCAGCTTCGGGACCCGAATACCCTAGGATATTGTTACCAGCTCAACTTAACTCAATACTGAATTACGCTCAAGTTCACCTCGAGAACCTAACAGATACCAAGGAGCAAGTAAGCCTCTGTGGACTATGTAAGTCGCCTGATGTCTTTAGCAAGTACGCTTCAAACAATATTGAGGAGACGTGGGTTCGATTCCCTCCTGAGGCATAACTGCACTCTTTTTTTTCTTTTTCTTCTTCTTTGCTTGTTGTCGTTTTCTCAATTGAAAACTGACTCAAGATCACTACTGTATAGATCTTACTTCCCTGACGGCTGGGTGATATTAAATTGATGTGGGTCAGATTGTCGTTCAGACCCAACGGTGGGATGAATGATGCCGGAGAAGCTTGAAATGATCCCCACGGAGTCAAGACACGGTGTTACATTGCATTGTCTGGAATAGCATGGAGATAAATACTGTAATATAGGAATAAAGATTGAGCCTCTGTGGTCTTGGGAAGACAGCTCTGTCTGATTTCGACTCTTGTTCTTCGTTTACAGAGAAGACAAGGGTTCGAATCCCTCCAGAGGAATGGAAGAGAATGCTCAATTTTTTTCCCTTTATGTCCTACATACTAATTCATTCACTTAAGATACCCAGCATCAATTAAAGGCTTGGTTGGATGTATATGTAAATTTTGGATGATGATCTAGAGGATACCATTGTTAGGCCTGACAGTGAGAGAAATACTGCAATGTGAATTCATCAATTGATAAGATGTCTCCGCCAATTAGACATCTAGGGGTCAGTTTGTCCGGAAAAGCGGACGGTTCGAATCCCTCCGGGGTCATGCATTGGGGGAACAAGTTAAAATTTTATATTTTCCGTCTTACTAATTCTTCTATAGTTCAAGATCTGGTTCTTTCTATTCTGCTTGAGTTACATTCATCTGTCGTTGACAATCGGTCCGAGATACCACTGCGGGCAAAGAACAACGCCCCTGAAATCCAGATGCCTTAAACGCACCTGGTTCAAGTGTAGACAATCGCAACAAAGGCCCTTTCGGAAGACAAAGGCACACTTTATCCTCGGTGTGGGGGCGGACAAAGCCTGCGTTTGTCTAACATAAGGGCCTTTGTACTCTTTGTCGCCTCTTTGTCGCCACCTGCGAACCAAGTGCGTTTAACGCACTTGGGTTGCAAGTGTGTCGTTCTTTGCCCATAGTGTACTCGACCTGAAGTTGAAGTGCTCCTCAACCTGAATGTCCTCGAGCAAAAAAAAAAGTCGAGCCGAGGGAGCCCATACTACATACAGGATAACAACAACAGAACGGAGCCAATCCTGGATCCACAAAGTATTTCTCCCTCCGAGAGACGTCAGGGTCCCACGATTTATTTTTGGCAATTGTAGTGATTACCAAATTGCCGCCTTAGCTCCGGCTTCAGCGCTCACAACAAGCGCCAAAGAGCAACACCTCAGCTACAATGTGGCCCTATTTCATCTCTCTTGTGATGGCAATTCCATTCGATGATGGTGAGTCGTATGAATGCCCTCCCCCCCCCGGAGTCATCTCAGTCTCCCCAGTCATGCAAAGGGTATCCGATTGCTTGTGGGGCAACGATGACTCGTGTGCTCTGTTTTTGCCTCTGTGTACGGAGACCGTCCTGTTTAGTCGACCCCCCTTTTCAACGTCAACATAGCAATGGATACGTTTGTCGCGCGCGTCAAATGGCTTTGGAACATGACCATCGTGGCCTTTGAGGAACTTGTTATCTGGAACCGCAAGGCACTTCCCATCGATACTGCTTGGCTCTTGCGGACGGACGAAGACACAATAGTGAATCTCAGTGAGTTTGGATAAATTGTCGATACCGCACAACTGAGGCCAACTCCCCAAATAGTCAGAGAACATCGGCAAGCTACTCTGAGAGCCTCCGCTGTAGTTTGCGTCGTCTCTGCCCTTTATGCGGGATTCACGCCTGCTTCTTCCCCGTTCGCCAGATCGAAGTCGATCGGCATGAGGTATCTGATCTACCGGGCCATCGTATTTGCTCTCGTGATCATCAGCTTTTCGGCGGGTCTCTTGTTCATCTTCGCATGGAATTTGGAGGAGCTCCCAGAACCTTGGTATTGGAGGTGGCTTCAGATCATCCCCAAATTCTAGACATGTCGCCAATCTTCTCTCAACACCTAGAATTTACTGTATCCAACTAAAAGTTGAAAGACACGGGGTGATGTACCAAACCCTTTGTGAAACGAGAGTATATAACTATTTCTCGGCGGGGGTCTGAGTCGTGTGTGGAGAGCAGAGCCGAAATCGCCAGAACATGCTTCAAATATATGTCTTTGACTTTCAAGGCATTCTCGGATTTGCCGGAGCACGAGTCAGTCGCTCCTGTTTACTTACAATCCCTTCCTGCACTACGCCGTAGATTACTGTATGGTCCCATGCACACGGGGACCCTGAAACCGATATTTAAGATTCGATCCTATCGTTTCATGCAAATTTCTCTATAAGGTAACAAAGAGGACATACAGGGCCTCGAAATAACAACATGGAAAGCGCATGGAAAGGAAAGGGAAGGGAACGAGGATGATGAGGGTTCGCGCCAGCCATCGCACCATACTTAATTGCCGATCTTCGCCCTACCAGGTTAGCGTCAGAGCGTGATCGAAGTCGGCCGCAGAGCGCTGATTAGGCGAGCGCTCTGCTCCATCGGGAAGATTCATTTCATTCCCGACCTCGTTTCCCGACGTGCGGTGGGGCGGACGTTCCTCTCCAGAATCGACTCCCCACGAGTCATGGCGAGACAGCTATGAAGAGGGCGAAGCGACGGCCACGGGGATGATCGACGATGCAGG